GTGCTATGGGAAGCTTGCTTGCTTCTGAAGGTATTTTTTCATTTACAGGAAAATAAATTGCACAAATGCAGCCTGCTTTATTTACAGATCTAGACGTGATCAACAGGGAGGGAAAGACAAAGGAATTGTGTTAAACTTGAAAGTATTTGATTTGGTGGGTTCTGTGTTTAGTGGGTGTTTTCAAAGCTTTAGGGGAAGGAGACATTGATGCATTAAAAGATTTTGAAAAAGCATGTTTTATAWAACAGGTGAGGTGCTGCATATTAAGATATGGATGTTAGAAGGAAAGGAGAAAGGAATAGAAAGCCCAGAATATGAGAACTTGAAGAAAAAAGTTAAACTCCAATTTAAAGAAAAACCACACTAGGAGTGATTAGTCAGTAGCTTGACAAAAGTAAGTGTAAAATGCTAAAATAAATGTTTGGTGATGTTGACATGTAGACGTGAGYAAGAGCCGAGCAGCAGCAAAATTGTTCAAACTCTTCAGAGGAAGGAAGGATGTTCATGTGTGGAATGGAGTGTAAAGGGAAGTGACATTTCTAAAGCTTATTTAGGCACCTCTGTTAAGCATGACATTTGCATTTGCTTATATTTGCTTTAATCAGTGTTGCATCAGCATTGGTGAAACTTTTTAAAAATTACATTAGATCATAAAGTGCAGAATTAATGAAATAGTTGGTGTTTGTACTTGTCCTTTAATACATTTTAGCCTCTATATGCTGATGATTTTATTTCTGAAGCTTACTGACATGGTAGCCACCAGGAAAGTACTTTAGTCTTAAAAACTAGCTTTAAAAAAATCTGTTAATATTTATCTGAATACAAAACAGTTAAATTCCTTAATTTTTATTTAGTAGAAATGACACATCCAGTGTAAATCTGGAATTCTGCTTGTGTGAAGCAAGAGCTAGCCTGGGCTCTTTGGAAAGGCTGTTTGGCRTGGATTCAAGCAATAACTACAAAACCATTGCATTATTCTGAATATGAAAGTAATTCTATCTTCACCTACAATCTGGATTTAYATCTGTAACTTCACCTAGTATTTTAGATCTTCCTTTTTGAAGCAAGATTCCTGTATTCAATATCATTCAGGAGCCAAGTACCTGTTTTCACCTCTGTAATAATTTTTATCATATATTTATTGGGAAAAAGATGGAGGTTCACACAGAGCAGATGATTTGCTTTTGCATGTTGAGATTATCCYGAACTCCAGATTTACTTTTATTTGGCCAGTTTCTGGGGGGAAAGAAAAAGCCCCAACTTCCAAATGTGTTACTCTGTAGCACATCCAAAGTTTTCCGTTCACTTATGGAGCTCAGGAAATTGCAAAGTTACTTTGCTTCTGTTGCTTTAAGCTTTCTTTCAATGTCCCCAAACACAATGTGGATCTGGTGTGTTTTCCAGGATTCTATCATTTCCTTGTAGAAAGTTGGTCACAGTTTCAGAAGTCTCAGCTGGATTCTCCCAGGGCACTGCTTTCTCCTGAAGTTGATGTGCTTTTAACTTGTACTTTGCATTTGGCAAATGTTTCAGCTTCATACAGCAGTGTAACAATACTTTGTATTTCTGTGCTGCTTTCACTGTGACACTCACTAGGCAATAGAAGTTCATTGTACATTTATGAATTTATCATCAAAACCCATGAAAGGTCTAAATATGCTCTTCCATGCATCATACTGGAGAAACTGAGGCTCCCACTGATTGAACTGTGATTGCAAGGTGACAGCAAGGACCCAGTTCAGCTCAGTCCATCAATACTGACCTGAGCCTATCTCCTAGAGAAGCAACTCACTGATTGGGGTTTTGTTAGTTTGGGCTTTGACCTAATAGGTATAATTATAATCAAGTTCTTAGTAATTGCTGTGCTGATTAGAGACCCACCTCTCTGGCAGACCCACAAATTTAACGAAATRTCTTTTTGTCCTTTGAACATTAACTGGGTCAGATAATCTACATCATTCTCTCTGTCTGGCCACAACAGTTAGAAGGAACCTCAGCCTTTGTTAGGGTGGAGTTTCTTCTTTGGTTGGCACAACTACAACATGAGATTTGGTCATTGGCTATCTCAAATTTTAATTTGTTACTCCTTTGCTACTGTCCTGTCAAGCATCTTGTTATGCCAACWGACACAAAAGCACTGTAGATGGTGTTGGAAGGTGAAGCTGATGTGCACAGTGGAAGAGTTAAGCASATCTAAAAACCTCACTATTGTTTAATGTCACCATGCTTTATCAGAACTGTGTTTTATATGTGTGCTATTTTAGCTGAAAGAAATCAATCTGAGCTCAAAAAAACCAATCAAAGCCACAAAAACTGCAAACCAACAAGAACTATCAGGAAAAAGGATAGAGAATTTTGTGCCATTGTTGCCCTGTCTGCCAAATCATAGCCAAGGCACTCTCCAGGTGTATCAGAAATAGCACATGACCCTTTTAAGTGTAAGCCCTTAAAACCTCTCTCTCTTTGGTTTTCTTAATGGAGTTTTGACTTCTTACCAGAATATGGTATGAAAAATTTAAACATCAGAAAAAATATGAGAATATGTAAGTCTGCAAACTAATATTCTTTCAAGTTTCAGGTCTGCCTTCAGCAGAGCAATAAGCAGAGAACGACAGATAGCAGAGGGCACAGATATTCCTATCCCTTTAGGAGTTGTGTAAATGATATCACTTTAAATCTCAAAGAAATACTGAAGTAGAACTACTACATCTCTCAGGTATCAGGAGCAAAYGTTTTCCATGGGTGTCACAAGTTTTATTGCAGCTTCTTACAACTTTTTACGCAGCCTTTGCTGAATGCTGACCCATCACACATTTATAGAAGTATAATGTGTGCATGATCTGCCTCTGGAGTTTTAAATGCCATCAGTTTGACAACATGGAGTGAGCACAAATATAAATTTAATAGTTTCAAAGACATGGTTTTARAATAGTCTGCATAAGGAAATGTGCTGTTACAGGTTGTTGCTGCAATTAAACAATCTTTGAGCTGKTTTTCCTGGTTTTGAAGGAAAACACAAGAATTATAATTTAGCAATATTTATCTGGTTTTTAAATTACAACATTAATATTATTAGTGGTGCATGAATGGGTTTAACATAGTGTATTTCTATGCTGTACTCAAAGTCAGCTCACTTGGAATAGAAGTATCTTTATAAAGATTTACCTTTTGGAAGGGCACCTGTTCAATGGTTTTCTCCACATTCTCTACCAAGAGCTAAATACAAGCTCAATTGCAAACAGTAAATTTTTAAGTAAGTGACTGTAAGGACTTAAAAGTTCAGATAATGGAAAGGGTGTCACTTCCGCTCTTGGGTGCTTGAATTCATTTATATTAAATAATTGAAATTTAAACCTGTATGGAAACTTTAGCATTGACAAAAACATGGTCGGGTTGTTCTTTTTTAAAAAAATTCAAATCTAGCCTATGTCTCATTTACAACTGAATATTTAACAGTCTTTTGGGTGAGGCTCATAGGTTTGAAATTGCACTTCTATCAATTTAAGTGTTCCATGTTTGATGCCTTGTATCCTGTTCCTATTTCTTTGCTATTTTTTAACTTGCTGCAACAGATGAGGGGTTCTTAAACCATCTGTTAACCTTTTTTCCCCATTTTTTTTAAACATGTAGAGTCGCTCAAGGCAAGAAGACCCAGAGCAAGCTAGACTGAAACAAAAAGCAAAGGAGGTAAGCAGAGCTAGAGATCATTACACTTGACATTTCAAGGCTTGAACATATTAATTTTTTATGCCTTGCTACTTGTATATCGTTAATAAAAATCTGACTAAAAACTTTTTAGGATGTATTTGTTGCTTTGCCTTTGATCTTAATGTTTGCAAACTAATACATTAATACATGTGAAGCCTAAGGAGATTTTATAAGAGAATATTTCCATACATTACATTTTCATTTCCATTTTAGGTAGCTGTAGCTTTTGTTAGATTGTTGATGACAGCAGCTCTAGATTTTGGTGGAAAATGTATGCCTTTGTCTTATGTAAGATGTCACTTTTTTAGAAATGTGCTACTTAACAATTTTGTTCTGGTAACATTYTTTCAAGTAATGTAGTTGCCAGTCATTTTCTCTACTCTGTGATTCAGTGGACTATTTACTCATTTAACTAAATTACAATAATATAAAAATATCATATGATTTCTGAGGAAGTTTTGATATGTTACTCTAAGGGTACCTTAATTTGCTATAAATGAGTCACTGTCCTTTGCTTAAGGCATCTCATGGCTTAGGATTTGGCTGTAACTTAAATCAATTAGAAAGAYTGAAATATCTATCAGTTGAAAGCAATTTCAGTAAAATGATGCTGGGTTTTTTAGCCAGCTTGTTTGGATATACACATTAGCAGTTAATAATTATGCATTGGAAGGTAATATATAGAGAAAAATGCATGTATGAAGTTCTTTTGTATTGACCTGTGCTTCCTGTTTCATTTCTTTCTTGGCAGTTTTCTGTAGTCCCGTTAGCTACACTGATTTTTTTTATATATAACAGTAAAAAAAATCCAAATACATTGGTGGTTTTTATTTGTCTTTATTTCATTATGTGATTATGTAGTAAGACTTGCTGAAATGAGTTCTTGTAAACATTAGACCAGGCCTTAGTGTTTCCAGAACTGGATTTGTCAAGCAAGTCTTGAAATGAAATAGARTAATCAAGTCATTTGGCAGGAAAAGAGACAGGATTTTAATAGTGCTTGGGTTTTGTTTGTAGCCAGTGTATGCAAAGGAAGAATCAGATTTCTGACAGTAATTGATGGCAGGCAGAGTGGGCTGTGGAGCTGCRAACTGAAGCTGCTGTGGTGCCGGAAGTGAGCAGAGCTGCAATTAATGCATTGCTGCTGCAGCACTGTTTGCTTTCCTGGTGATTCTTTTCCGGCCTTTGGAAGCTGGAGGCAGTGAAAGTAAAAGGCAGGGATGGTAAAAGCACATTTCCCAGTAGGCAGCRTCAAGCAGAAGTTCTGTACAAGCAGTGCCAGAGCCTGCAGGGCTGCCCTGGCCGGGATTCAGGTCAGCCGAGCCAGCCAAGGCTTCCCTGGCACAGGGAGTGGCACAGGAGGGGCAGGGATGGGACAGGCTCCAGGAGATGGGGACAGTGCTGTGAGCGATGGGGACAGTGCTGTGAGCGATGGGGACAGTGCTGTGAGCGATGGGGACAGTGCTGTGAGCGATGGGGACAG